ATTATGATACTTAAATATGATTTCTTTTAGTTGTAATAAAAATAATTTGTTTTATTTGTAATTAAAATAATTTTATTTCCATATTTATTTTCAAATTAATTTATTTAATTTTCAATTATTATTTCAAAACATTTGGGTTTTAAAATTAAATAAATTTTCGTCCTTAAATCGATGTAAATTATGAAGAATTACCAACGATATTCTTACGACGAATTAGGGACGAATTACTAGTAACAACGATTTAAGGACGATTTTTATACCACGAATTTGCAACGAATTACCGACGAATGTATGTTCGTCATTAAATCGTCGTTAACTTTACATCGATGTTAGGACGAATGGTTCCCGACGATTTTACGACGATTCCTTGTTTCTCGCTAATTAAAGACGATTTTACGACGAATTAGCAGTTACGACGATCAATATACGACGAATACGAATTCGTCGTTAAATCGTTGCAAACCCTATTTAACAACGATTTAACGACAAATATGGTCGTTGTGAAATAGGTAATTTCTTGTAGTGTTAAGAACAATTTAATTACTGAAATATTGTCTTAAGTAGGTGTTGTATGTTTTTATGTGTTTTTGTGTGAACTCCGCTGTTTTTTTATGTGCTTTTCGTGTAGCTCATGGTATGTGTAACTTCTTAAGTATGAATTTTTGTAAGATTCCTATGTGTTTTTATGTGCCGTTCGTGTTTTTGTTTGAACTCCTTGAATTATTGTAATATGTTGCTCAGCGATTCATGTATGTTTGTAGGATTCTGTAAAAGGACAACTTGGAGAAGAAATGGCTGCCAATAGAGATCACGGGTCAAGTAAAAAGAGGAAGTGCCAAATATTGATGATCACAGGTCAAGTAAAAAAGAGGACAAGACCAAGTATGGGTCCATATTGCTTTTGTTTTCTAGTATGGCAACCCACATATTTGTGAAGTTAATGTAAACCACACATGTGTAACATAACTGAACCACGTATCATTTTGTAAAAATTTTCTATTCTTATATAAATGTAAACCAATCGATTTCTTATTCTATCAAACTCAAACTCTTTGTGTTCTCAAAGTTCCCACAAAGCAAACTCTTGTGTTCTAAACAAACTTTCTCTTCTTATACTTAAACTTTTCTACTCTTATTTTTTTTTTTTAGAAAAAGTTCACAAGTGTAAACAAAGTTCCCACAATTGGTTTTTTTTTTAATGAAAGTTCACAAGTGTAAAAAAAGTTCCCACAAATCATCTTTTGTTTTTTTTTAAACAAACTCTACAAGTATGACATCTTCTTCAAACAACAATTTTGATGATGGATCGCTTGACGACGATTTTGATGAAGTTTTTGATCAACATCTTGACAATATGTTCGATGCTGTTCTTGATCGGCAAGCCGCAAGAAAGCAAAAGAAGAAATGAGCATATATAGACAAACAATGTGAAGAAGGCCATAACCGCTTATAGAACGATTATTGTAGTGAAATGCTACATACCCTCCTCATATATTTCAACGTCGTTTTACAATGAACAGATCCTTGTTCATGCGTATTGTTGATCGAGTCTCCCAAACAGTTCCATACTTTCAACAAAGGAGAGACGCTGTCGGAAGGATTAGTCTCTCTGGATTACAAAAGTGTACATCAGCAATTCGTATGATGGCCTATGGTTGTGCGGCTGATGCGGCTGACGAATACCTCCGGCTCGGTGAAAGTACTGCAATTAAATGCTTGGAGAAATTGGTACAGGGAATAATACATTTGTTCGGAGAAGAGTAATTAAGAAGACCGACACCAGAAGATCTTCAGTGACTACTCGATATTGGAGAGATACGGGGATTTCCGGGGATGATAGGAAGCATCGATTGTATGCACTAGAAGTGGAAGAATTGCCTTACCGCTTGGAAAGGGCAATATACACGTAGATCAGGAAAACCGACAATCGTCAAGAGCTGTAGCATCACAAGATCTTTAGATATGGCACACATTTTTTGGACCTCCAGGTACCTTAAACGATATCAATGTTCTTGATCAGTCACCCGTTTTTGATGATATATTACAAGGACGAGCTCCAAAAGTGAATTACTTGGTCAATGGACACCAGTATCATATGGCGTACTACCTCACAGACGGTATTTATCCAAAATGGGCAACTTTTATACAATCTATTCCTCTTCCTAAAGGGCCGAAAGCAAGATTATTTGCAACATGTCAAGAATCCACCAGAAAATATGTTGAGCGTGCTTTTGGAGTCTTTCAAGCTCTATTTTCAATCGTAAAAAAATCCAGCTCTTATATGGGATAAATAAAAAATAGGAAATATTATGAGAGTATGTATCTGGATTCCAACAAGGAGAAGGAAGCAGAACTTCACAAATAGATATGACGTATTCCACGGATATGCCTACAAATCTTGGCAATATGATCGGCACCTGGAATCAAATTCGTGACAGACAAATACATGAACACTTGAAAGCTGATTTAATTGAGCATATATGGCAGAAATTTGTCACCTCTCAAGATTATAACTAAACGTTTTATGATTTCAATACCTGCATTTTGTATGTTTAAAATTTTATGTAATGCAATATAAATTTGGTTTTATTAAATTTTGTATGTTTATAGTTATGATCAAATCAATAATTACTTAGATTAAATAATATAAAGAGTTTTAGACAGGTGTCGGATGTCCATTGGTTTACGAAAGAGATTACAAATCGGACCAAAACAGACCCAAAGTAAAAATCGGCCAAAAGTAAAAATCGGTCCAAAGTAAATGGGCTTCTAAAAATCAGCCTAAAATATGTAAAGTCTTGGGCTTCTAAATATGAGTTTCTAAAAACCCCTTAATGGTATGAGGAATGGAGGAGAAAAAAGGATTAATCCTTAATTTTTTTTATTTGACAAATCTATTATTAAAATATGTTTAAGAACCCCTAATGGATATAAGGGGTGGAAATGCTCTAATACTTTAGCTACTGTACACATCTATTTTTGCTGAGTTTACCTCTGCTACAATATTACACGGCCATTTGTATGTGGTATACACTGAAGTAAAAAAAGAGAGAAAATGGTCTTTTTTATAAACAAAAGTTATTAAAATTGAAGGAGTCAAATTTAAGTGCTATAATACTAGAGAAACTAGAAATAAGTGATATTTGGTACTATTATTCCTAAATATTTTAAGACTTAATAGTAAATATAGATACTTTTTTTTAACTTATTTGAGTTTTTTGTCACATTCTGTTTTTTATCTTTATTTGAATATGTATTGTACATAATGCATGGTTGTCATACCGTAAAATTAGAAAAAAATGCGTGTGTAAAGGTATTCAAAGTGCCAAAAAGCTTAATATTTTCCAAGTGTTAGAAAACTTAACAAACATTATAAAAAGTGCATATTTTGCAAAAGCATCATATATATTTTTTTAAATGTGTCATGTGGTATTTTTGAAAACTAATAGCAAATAAAAGAATTTTTAAGAGATATTTTTGCGCATATAGTCCCTTTTAAACTTTTATTTGTGTCCTATCACTTTTTTACTATATTTTCCTTGGTATATTTTATCCTTATTTATACTATTCTCTGTACCATGATACAGTACACATATAAGGAAAAAAATGTGAGAAATATGGTGTTGCTTGGTAAGAACTGTAATTTTTGGTATTTACTCTAGATTTTTGCTTTAAAAACTTTTGCTGTAAAAATTTAATAGTTATTGTAAAAAGATATAAAAAAGCAAAAAAAAAATGAAAAAAAAAATTAAAGAGAGGGATCTCAAAAGAAACCAGAAAAATTAAGATGTACTCACTTAAATTTAGTTAGTAATTACTCATATATAAATCATAAATTATTGTCTTACTATTATAAATATTTACTGGAATGGAGCCCGATAAGATTTACTCAACAATTTGTTGGCTGGAACGGAGCCGGATATCTGGACTTTTCAAGGTATCCGAATCCGGATCCGGATTCGCCGGATAATCAATTTTACTATCCGGATCCAGATCCAAAAACTGCGAATATCCGGAGACCGGACATCCGGTTTAAACCGAATATTTACGGATATCCGACCGGATATCCGGTTTTGTTGATTTAAAAAAAATCAATTTTTAAAAATTATAATGAAATAACATATATAATTAAAATGTATCAACATAGCAAAAATTACAAATACCAAAAATTAAAAAGCATTCAAATAGCATTCAAATAGCACAAAGTTTAAAAGTTTACATAGCAAAAGAGAAGATAATTTATCTTCATATTCATGTGTTATCTATTTTCATGTTCTTCTCTCACAATCTGAAATAGAAAATTATCATGCAATATGAATTTCAATAAATATTATCAAAATAAATAAATACTTAATAAACGGATAACGGATATCCGATTTTAAAATTTTATATTATCCAGATCCGTATCCGAAATAACTGAATACTTAATTTTACTATCCGGATCCGGATCCGAACTACACGAATATTCTGTTTTTTGGGATCGGATAGGACTGGATACCGGATAATAATTCCAGCCCTAATGATTAGTAGAAAAATTTGCGTACAACACACAACTTTTGTAATGAATTTGAAGTATTTGCACAAAATGACACTTATTTGTTATTTCAACTTTCCATACAATTTATTACTTTTTGTCTTTTAGAAAAAATGCAACTTTCCAAAGTGCTAAGTTTACAAAGCCCTCAAACTAGAGATTTCCAATCTAACCTTAAACCATCATACTAGATATATTTTTAACACTTTTTCAAAATAAACATGCAAATTTAGCTATAAAATCCTGTTACACCAAAAGTATGATATTATTTTAATTTGGATGTATCTTCTTTTTTTGAATTCATAATAAATTATAAATTTTTGAGAAAGACAAAGAAAATGATATCCACTAAAAACTAATGCAATATTTGATTAGGAAAACATTTCCCAAAAATAGCTGATTAGTATAATTGGTTGCAGATTATATTTTTCATGGTAAGGAAAACAAATTGTTGTCTTACTATTATAAATAGTCTCTGATTCCTCAATTCTAGCCACACAAACAATTTAAAACCACAAGAGAAAATACACTTATCCAAACAAAATGAAGAAAACTTCTTTGCTATTCATCATCGGTCTATTGCTATTCTCAACATGTAAGAGTTTCTAGAAATATTATGTTCAGTTACATTCATCACCATCGTCATCTTCATTATCAATATTATAAATCAGCATGATTAATAACCTATTAAATCTCACAGATACTCAAATTTTGGCACGACGGTCTTGCAAGAGTGTCAGTGATTGTAACCAACTGAAATGTGAAAAGCGCAAGTGTGTGCAGAACAAGTGTATATGTGTTGCCGAAAGAAATGTGGTTTTACCCCCTTCTAATAATAATGAACAAGCTTGCTTTGACTATTGCAAATCTATAGGCGAAGAAGTTCGTGTTTGGACAACGGAAGGCTGTTGGTGTCAGAAACCTCCAATGTAATATTAACAAGTTTAAACATAAAAAGATTATAAAATATGCAAAAAATTATATTTTATTTTTATTTTTATCCATAGCAAAATAATATTTCTTATAAAATATGCAGAATTAACCTGTTATAATTAATTTGGGATTTTTAATGAAAAACAAAACTTTCAAGATGGATCGAAAATAAACCCTTCAAGTCACTTTTAACAAAACCGAACAGTAAAATTGCATCAAAACAAACCAAACGGGAGTAACCGAACAAAAACCAAACTGAATTTCAAATGGTTTAATCTAATATCATTTTCTACAAAACCGGGAAAAAATCGAATCGTAACCGGATAGTCCCGCTTACTGCAGCTTATTACGATTTACTTACGGCCTTTTATCTTCTGTTGACAAAAGGCTAACAGAGTAAACGATTTTGCTATCTTAATTTACATGACTTATCGAACGATTATTATGTAATTTCAAGAATCCTGCATGGTATGTGCAATATGACCCAAAGTTTACAAATGTAAAGCCATGTAATATAACCCATCAATAAGATGTCTACAAATGTAATATAACCCAAAGTTTCAATTTTATGTGCAAAGCCATCATCAATCAGAACCAATCTCAATTTTCCGCTGTGATACTATCCAGCAGCGACTCACATGCATCTTCAAGCAAGTCCAATACCTGTCAAATTAATAAATAGATGGAACAAGAAAGAGATCAAGATTCAAGTTTCCAAGCAATCAAATAAGAAATTTTGGGAATCGAAGACCAACTTAAAAGTCTAATAACCCAAAACAACCATTTTAAAGATGATCTATCTCCATTCTGCATTTATAGGTTAGCATCTGTCTAAACCAGAAATTAAGAGACCTATAATTCTCTACCGGTGCTACTACTAAGCGCATTATTATTACCTTCTCGAAACCTTGAGCTCCACCGTAATACGGGTCTGGAACTACCTTGTCATTGTGTTTCTTGCAATATGAACACATTAGCTTAACCTGTAAATACAATGAAAAATGCTCTATAATCTCTATAACATAGTTCCAAAGTCAAGAACCAACGAACACGATCAATGAAGTATACTAATACCTTTTTATCTGCATCAGGTGGGAAATTCCCTCTGGCTTTCCATACATTAAACGCATTCAAAATATCCTCTGCAAACATACATCAAATTCATCAATGAAGTATACTAATGTAACTTCTCCTGAATCTTGTAGAATGTTTAAAATAAAATAACAATCAACACTCTCTTTTCTTCTACCTTTGTTCTGCTCATCCATTGCAAGAATGAGATCAAACTCCCTGAAATCAGATGCCTTTATTGGTCTAGACAACGATGTTATCTCAACTCCACGTCGTTTCGCAGCACTTCTCATTCTTGGATCTGCCATATTTCCCTTCAAAGAAAGCACTTTTCAAAATCAAAAAATTGATCTCAAACTCTAATTTCATAAACCAAAACCCTAAAACCAAGCCATTCGACATCTGAAACATCATTCACACTAATTGTCAAAATCAGGCATCAATTTATCTTATTTCACCGAGAAAGCTGTTTTTTTTTTTGTTTTTCTCTTTGATTCGAAATTCACTTTGCACAATCCAAAATGATTTCCCTTCAAAGAAAGCACTGTTGTTTTGGTGATGAAAATCTACTTGGTTAAGGAGCTTGAATCGAGGACAGGTTAGTCGAAGTGAGAATACCGGCATTTGGTTTCTCATGGTTCACGGTTTGTTTAAACCGATCTGTTAATTGTAATTGACTTTGACCATTAGTCAAAGCGTGTAGATATATAGCTCGTTCTCTTAGTTTTAAAAGCTTGTACAGAGATGAGAGATTGTAGCTTGTATCAGTTGTTGAAAGCTTGATTCACCAGGCCGAGAAGTAGGGTATTATCTCATATCGAGAGCCTGAACTCGTAAATCTCTGTTCTTTCTTTGCTCAAATCGTCTTCGTATTCGTGAGTGATTGTGAGATTGTGAGTGAAGTTTCTGTGTCGATTCGAAGTCGCGATCCTAACAAAGTGGTATCAGAGCCAAGTTCGTCGGCTCAGAAGAATCGATGGCGGATCTGAAGACTAAGATCAAGATCTTCGACGGTCAAGCACGATGTGGAAGAAGAGGATGTTCGCTCATCTCTCGATTCTCGGATTGAAGGAGTTTCTTTCAGAAGAAGCCTATTTCAAAATCGAGATTAAGAAGGAAGAAGAGGAATCGGTCTTTAATGAAAGAAAGATTAAAGAAGAAGCCGATTGGGTTGCAAAAGAAGAAAAGGCGATGAACATGTTGATACTGAATCTCGGAGATCATGTGTTGCGGAAGCTGGAAGATTGTACGACAGCGTCTTCGATCTGGTCAACGCTCGAAAGGTTATACAATTCTAAGACTCTTCCCAATAGGATTCATATGCAACACAGATTCTACACTTTCAAAATGGTGGATTCAAAATCTATTGACGAGAATGTTGATGATTTCTTGAAAGTGGTTTCTGGGTTAAGCAGTGTGAAAGTTACAGTATCCAAAGAAGTGCAGGCAATTCTTCTCTTAAGTTCTTTACCGTCTCAATATAACTCTCTCAAAGAAACTCTGAAGTATGTACAGAGAGACTCTGACCATTGAAGATGTGACAAACGCTGCAAAGTCAAAAGAGATAGAGTTAAGGGAGGTAAAAGAACTGATTGGCTCACAAAAGGTTGGTGATGCCTATACTGCACGGGGAAGGTCAGAGAAACGAGATTCAGGACCAAGAAAAGGGAAAAGCAGATCAAGATCTGCATCAGGGTCGAAAATTACTTGCTGGTACTGCAAAAAGGAAGGGCATAAAAAGGCTGATTGTTATGCTCGGAAAAGAAAATTAAAATGTGAAGAGAGTGCAGAAGCAACTGTTGTTATCGATGCTCTTGAAGACACAGATGCTCTGAATGTCTCGGAAAAATGGCATCAAGACAAATGGGTAATAGACTCCGGGTGTTCTTACCACATGACGTCAAGGCGTGACTGGTTCAACACATTTGAGGAGCTCGCTTCAGGACAAGTCCTTCTCGGAGATGACTACTCAATGGAGGTAAAAGGCATCGGATCTATCAATATAAAAGCATATGGTGGTACTGTGAAGACTCTCACCAATGTAAGGTACATCCCTAAACTTAGAAGGAATCTTATATCTACTGGAACCCTGGATAGATTAGGATTTGATCATTCTGGAGGAAAAGGAAAGACTAGGTTCTATAAGAATGGTAAACTAGCCTTACAAGGAACATTGGTTAGAACTTTGTATTTGCTATATGGTGAAACTGTTGCAGGAGAAAATAACAACAGTGAAACTAAGAAAATGTCAAAAGATGAAACGGTTCTTTGGCACAGAAGACTAGGGCACATAAGTCTCAAGAACTTGCAGATACTGGTTAAGAAAGGTATCATCGATAAGAGAAAGATTGGAGAAATGGATTTTTGTGAGAGCTGCGTGATGGGAAAGCACAAAAGACTGAGCTTTAACATCGGAAAACACAACTCAGAAGAGGCACTCAAGTACGTTCATGCCAATCTGTGGGGCTCTCAGAACGTCACACCAAGTTTGTCGAGCAAACAATATTTTCTATCAATCATAGATGATTGTACGAGGAAGGTGTGGGTCTACTTTCTCTCAACAAAAGGTGAAGCTTTTGAAAGGTTCTGCGAGTGGAAGAAGCTTGTGGAGAATCAAGTAAACAAGAGAGTAAAGTGTCTCAGAACGGATAATGGTTTGGAATTCTGCAACTCGGAGTTTGATAATTTCTGCAAGAGCCATGGAATAGAAAGACACAGGACGTGTGCTTATACTCCGCAGCAGAACGGAGTGGCTGAGCGAATGAACAGAACTATAATGGAGAAAGTTCGGTGTCTTCTAGATGAATCAGGACTTGAAGAACCATTTTGGGCAGAGGCTGTATCTACAGCCGTGTATCAAATAAACAGGACTCCTTCGTCAGCGGTTGACAGTAACATTCCTGAAGAGTTGTGGCTTCGGAAGAAACCTGGATACAAACATCTAAGAAGATTTGGTGCTTTGGTCTATGTACACAAAGATCAAGGGAAGCTCAAACCTAGGGCGTTAAAAGGAGTGTTTGTAAGCTACCCAACGGGTGTAAAGGGATATAAAGTTTGGCTCCTGGATGAAGGAAAGTGCATCATAAGCAGAAATGTAATGTTTGTTGAAGATAAAGTTTACAAGGATATAAAGGATAAGGAGTCTGTACAAGAAGGTGGAGCTGATGTATCTGAAGAACAAGGATCAAGAACTATTATTGATGTGAAGAGTATTTCTGAAACCGAGAAGCATAAGGTCAGTTCTCAACAAGTCAGAAGTTCAGATTTCAGTGACAGTGATACAGAAGAAGGTGGAGTTGAAATAGACTCATATCAAGATGGAACTTCTGATGGGTATCGACTCGCTAGAGATAGACCGAGAAGAGACATCAGGCTCCCAACCAGATTACAGATTTCGATATCTCTGCATTTGCCTTCTTGGCAGCAGAAGATGTCAGTACTGATGATCCCAGAGATTATGAAGAGGCAATTAGAAGCAAGGAATGTGATCTATGGGATGCAGGTATGAATGAAGAGATGAATTCTTTGGAGAAAAATAAAACCTGGGTAATAGTGAAGAGACCAAAGGACAGAAAGGTAATCGGCTGCAAATGGGTATACAGGTTGAAGCCGGGTATTCCTGGTGTTGAGAAGCCTCGATATAAGGCCAGGCTAGTGGCAAAAGGGTACTCGCAAAGAGAGGGTATCGACTATCAGGACGGTTTCTCACCAGTTGTGAAACATGTATTGATTAGATATCTCTTATCAATCGTTGTGAATCTGGATTTGGAGTTGGAACAGTTAGACGTAAAAACAGCTTTTCTTCATGGTGTCATGGAGGAGGAGATCTACATGGAGTAGCCAGAAGGTTTCAAGGTAAAGGGAAAAGAAAGTCATGTGTGCTTGCTGAAGAAAGCCTTGTACGGTCTAAAACAAGCTCCTAGACAGTGGAATAGATGCTTTGATCAGTTCGTACTTAGTCAAGGTTTCACGAAGAGTGAATTTGATCATTGTGTTTATATCAAGAATGTAAAAGGAGGAGCTGTGGTCTATTTGCTTCTGTATGTAGATGATATGCTGCTAGCATCTAAAGACATGGAAGAAATTAAAAAGGTGAAACAGACGCTAAGCAGTAGATTTGAAATGAAGGATCTTGGTCCAGCCAGTAGAATTCTGGGAATGGATATAGAAAGAGATAGAAAAGGTGGAGTTCTCAAGTTATCACAGTCAGGATATGTGAAGAAAATACTTCAGGCGTTTAACATGGATGAAGCAAGACAAGTGTCTACGCCCATTGGTGCTCAGTTTAAGTTGTCTGCGATCAAGGATGATGAAGCAGAGACTGTACTTGACAACGTTCCATACGCAAACGCAGTAGGAAGTGTCATGTACGCCATGATAGGAACCAGATGTTACTTAGCGTATGCTGTGGGGCTAGTCAGTAGGTTCATGAGTAAACCAGGATTAGTTCACTGGTCTGCAGTCAAGTGGGTTTTGAGGTATCTTAAAGGTACACAGAATCTGAAGCTGGTGTTTAGAAAGAGGGATGAGTTCAAGATTGAAGGTTTCTGCGACTCAGATTTTGCCTCTGATCTAGACAGAAGAAGATCGATCTCCGGGTATGTTTTCACAGCAGGAGGGAACACCATCAGTTGGAAATCACAGCTTCAACATGTTGTTGCTTTACCTACAACCGAGGCCGAGTATATGGCACTTGTAGAAGCTGTGAAGGAAAGCATTTGGCTTAAAGGACTCGCTGAGGAGTTTGGTTTTAAACAAAGATCAGTTGATATATGGTGTGATTCTCAAAGTGCTTTGTGTCTTGCGAAGAATGGTGTTCATCACGAGAGGACGAAGCACATTGACAGGAAGCTGCATTTTATTAGAGATGTAGTGGCTCAAGGAGATGTGAAGGTACTGAAGATAGCAACAGCTAAGAATCCAGCTGACATGCTTACTAAGGGACTTCCGGTTGATAAGTTCGAGAAAGCTCTGAGTTTTCTCGGATTGGAACAACACTAAAGTGTTGGAGTAAGACCTGGTGAAACTACACGTTTGGGTTAACAGAATAGCTGATCAAGTTAGAATGTCATCAAGGTGGAATTTGTTGTTTTGGTGATGAAAATCTACTTGGTTAAGGAGCTAGAACCGAGGACAGGTTAGTCGAAGTGAGAATACCGGCATTTGGATTCTCATGGTTCACGGTTTGTTTAAACGGATCTGTTAATTGTAATTGACTTTGACCATTAGTCAAAGCGTGTAGATATATAGCTCGTTCTCTTAGTTTTAAAAGCTTGTACAGAGATGAGAGATTGTAGCTTGTATCAGTTGTTGAAAGCTTGATTCACCAGGCCGAGAAGTAGGGTATTATCTCATATCGAGAGCCCGAACTCATAAATCTCTGTGTTGTTCTTTCTTTGCTCAAATCGTGTTCGTATTCGTGAGTGATTGTGAGATTGTGAGTGAAGTTTCTGTGTCGATTCGAAGTCGCGATCCTAACAAGCACTTTGCATTCGAAAATCACTTTGCACAATCCAAAAATGATTTCCCTTAAAAGAAAGCACTTTTCACAGTCAAAAATTGATTTCAAACTCTAATTAGTAATTACATCAACCAAAACCCTAAAACCAAGCCATTTGACATCTGAAACATCATTCACACTAATTGTCCTAATCAGGCATCAATCAATCTTATTTCACCGAGAAAATTCTTCTCTTTAATTCGAAAGGCAAAAGAATCGGACCAAAATGATTGATCACCTCGTGATAATCGATGGTTCCTGCTGAATCGATGTTGAATTTGGAATCGAGGCCTCTCTTCTTCACAATATCTCTAAATACGCCTTCAGCTGCTGGGCTCCGACAAATGTTTCCGAGACAGACGAAAAGAACAGAGAAAGTTTTGGTTTCGCTGCTCTGAGTCGGATTCTCCATTGAGGAAGACGATGCGAAGCACCCAGCGGATGGAGAAAGTCTGGGTTTTTCTCGGAAACCTGAAACGAGATTCGGAATTTTGTGAGATCTGCTTTTCGTTGAGACGAAAGTAGATGCGAAATGTTGAGAAGGAAGAGGAAGAGGAAGAAATCGAGTGTGGTGGCAGAATGGTAAATAGGAAGGGATTGTAGGAGAAGTGGTGAGCTTGGGGAAGTATTGTGACGGAGTCATCATTCCCTGAAAGCTTGGAGATTTGTGTATATACGAGTTATCTGCTTTTGAACTATTTTTCCGTAATACGCAAATGAATCATGGGTAAAATTGGGAATAAATTGTAGAAGTGGGAGTGTAGAAAGGCGCTCAGCCTTGAAGGCAACAAGTTTCGTTCTCGTTTTTATTGGTAGAAGAACTAGCCATTTCGAAACAATTTTTGGTTATTATCTAAGGCCATGTTTATTGCAGGTATAGTTGGGTTTTTAGTTGCTTTTTGGTTTAAAAATAAATTAAAAATTGGATTAATGAGGAGAAACGATCCTTGTTTTAGATTTTTAAGGATCAACTCTTCTTGTGACGTGTTACGTTGTGATAAGCTGTAGAAATTTGGAGAAAAAAATTAGATTTCATCGATCGACATTGTGGGGAATAAAAATTAGATTTCATCGATCGACATTGTTGTCTCCGTCACAAAAAATCTCTTCCTCTCGTCGATCTTTGTTGATTCTTCTCACAAGAGGGTCAAGATTTTTGTTCTTCAAGTGGGTCGCTGATTATCAGGAGTATCACCAGGTGACGGAGACGACAACACCGCTCTGTTGTCGTCGGAGGATTCGTCTTGCCCGGAAGATTTAGTGTCAGGGACAGAGCTCGTCGAAGGATTCGTCATCTTTGGCTTTGTCGTCGGAACCAAACCGTCTGCTGATTTTTCTGCGCCTCCATCAAAAGGGTAAATTCATCTTCTAGACTTTATATGATAATCTAAATACATGTATGTATAGAATCTAAGCAATGTAGCTTTGTTAGACTGAATGTCACACAGAGATTATAGACCTTTGTATTGTGAGATTAAATTAATTGCAGGATTAGATCATATCGAATGTTCTCTGAAATGTTTTGAGTAACACTTGTGGAATACTTGTTTAAATGTTATAAGGGGTCTCTTGTGTATTGCTGTTTACAATTTCATCTTCTGTTTGATTTGTTTTGGTGATGGCGTGGTGATTTGATATATTCATAAATTGCAGCATTTAGTGTACATATTCTAGTCCAAATCATGTCTCATTTGCATACATTTTAGGTCTTTAGGCATTGTTTTAGGACTTAGGAGATTGCATTAGGTCCAAGAGAGTTTTGCATGGTTTGGAGTGTTAAACATGTGCTTTTGGAGCTTATTTGGAGTGGAGGATGTGATTTAGATGAAGAAATGGAGTTGAAATGATCAAAAATGGTGAAAATGAGCAATTTTGGGTTTCTCGGCAAAATGCTGTACTGATGGCCGAAGATTCTCGGCCAAAATCCTTCCCCCGGGTAGATCTCTCGGCCAAAAACACGTACCGGCGGTTAAGTCTGTCGGCCAAAAATCTCGAGTGCAGATACATCTCAGAAATCACGTTACCGGAAGCTCTTGCCGTCCGATTCAGATGTCGGGGTCTTCATGAAAGTTGGAGATAATTGAGTCGAGAACCCAGAACAGTTCGAATCAGGGCATTTGGAGCACTGAGCTGAAAGATATGGCCACCGGAAGACGAACGTGTCTTGCACTCATTCCGGAGAAATCTGATATGTCCGAAAGATTGCCTGTCCGGGGAACCTTCCGGTCCGATTCAGTTGTCGGGTGCTTCATGAAAATTGTAGAAAATGGGATCAAAGTTCCAGATCAGGTGGTATCATTAGATTTGGAGTAGTGATCAGAGTTAAGCTCATCGGAAGACACACCTGTCTCATCGCTACTTTAAACCGATCCGATGAGCTTCAAAGATTGCGAGGGACGATGCACTTGTTTCAGATTACAGGATATTTGAGTTCTCTTTCCATAACGTTTGAGATCATTCGATTTGGAGCTATGAGCACGAAGATAACGTTTCCAGAATAAACACATGTATAGAAGCCTCTTTCTGATTGTGTCAATGCATCGCAAAGATGAGCCCTCCGAGGAACCTTCCACTTCCCAAGCGCCGATTGTTTCTTCACCAAAGATCGAGCTGGATGAGTTATCTTTCTCATGGAACTGGTTTCAGGTCATTTGGAGTTACGAGCTGAAAGTTACACTGAACGGAAGAGAAGCTGGTCAATTCGGGTTTTAAGAGATGCGACTGTAAGCTAAGTGTTATGCCCTACCTCGGCGTAAATACCTCGGCACGTTATGCCGAGAAGGCATGTTTACAACGCTTTTAGACTATACTTAGAGGTAGCACTTCGGTCTTTCAACACCAAGGCTCCTTTGATCACCAAAATGATCCCAAAACGACTAAGTGTTGAAGCAGACCTTGGTGTGAACCCCTCGGCATGTTATGCCGAGGTTCTATGTTACACAAACCTCGGGTACCAAGCCCCTCGGCATGTTATGCCGAGGTCCTCATCTCTCCAACCCAGATCACAAACAAATCCTTTTCACGTTTCAAAGTTTTAACCGGATCAAAGGCCAAGTCTCATGCATGTTCTTCAAGTGTTCATCAATGTTTCAACCCAGCACATGACCCTCTGGTGTATGACCTTCGGTGTGAGACTTCTTCAGATGTCGAGGGGTGGCTCCAGCAACCCAGAAAGGGCGGGTCAGTACCCAGTTTTTCCTGGGCTGACCCGGCCCAATACCTTTTATATAAATAGTTTTTAGGGATTAAAACCCTAGTTATGCTTTATCTTATCCTCTAATCTGTTTTCTTTTTGTTCTCTCTCCTTCTTAGTGTAAAACGAGTTTTATCAAGAGATATCTAGCAGATTTAATCATCTTAAGGCTGTTTCTTATCATCTGATCATCTCATCTCTGCTTCTAATCATGATTAATACCACCTCTTGCAAAGGAAATGGTGTGTTCTTCATGATTAGTGAGTAGTCATCTTTTAAGCTTCTAGGTGTGTAGATTAGGGTGCTTAGATGATCGGTTTATGATGTTTAGGTTCTAGATTCTCATCTCCTTTCCTTAGTTAGCTGCTCTTAATGCTAGATCTTTGCACATCACTCTGATCTAGACCTTAGTCATTTCTCCACCCACAAGGTGTTTGATGAAATGCCTGAATAAGCTAACTTAAGGGTTTATGCCTTTTTCATCATGGGAATGATTTGTTAAATGCATGAATGACATATTAGAACTGTTTCTTAATGCTTATTGATTCATATTTCACAAATGATGATTTGGTTTAAAAATGGATTAGTGTAGAGATTAATGCCTTCATGAGAGGATTAGTCTAGATTAGAGTTCTAAGTTGAAATGTTTTGAGATCATGTGATTGCTTGTTGCTGCTTTCTGTGTAAGATTCGGTCTCCCTTATGAAGAAACCGTTTGGTCATTATTAGATTTGATACTTTATGCTTGTTGATTGCTTGATTTTGCTTAAGGTGAATTAATCTTGATTAAGTGGTTTGCAAAGGGATTATTGTCATGAGAATGAATTAATCTGCTTTTGAAGTCTAGACTAAAGAGTAACTTGCATTGTATTATTGTTCTTAGCATCATGAATTGATATCTAAAGCACCCTAATCAATGATCACATCCAGAGGTTTATCTTTTATCATTGCTTAATCACCACCATCGTTTTTAGCTTGCTTGTTTAGTTCATTTATCATTGCTTGTTTGTTCCTTGTTTATATTTTCACTTGTTACTTGTCACCAAACTCATCTTTGATCACTTGAGTTAAGAACTTATCTTATAAACTAGTGCCTAACTACCACACATATGGATTGACACCCCTTATAATACTTTGACAAGGGGATTGATAACCCTTCTAAGAGCCTAAAAACTCTTAGTTATCAATTGGCGCCGTTGCCATATTATGTGGGGCTAGTTAGCATTAGTTTCTGATATAGTTTTTGAGATCAAGTTTAGTTTTTTTTACTGATTCCCTTTCAACTTCTGTCTTTGTTTTTAGGTGTATGATCACAAGAGGTCAACTTAAAAGACAAAGAGAAAGAGCTGCTCATTTGGAGAGATTGGGAATGAATCAGCAAGTTGGGATTGAGCACCAGGCTCAAGAAGCTGCTCATGGTCAAGGAGCTGGTATTCGAGCTAATGGGAACAGGAATCAGGATCAGGTCCATCAGGGACAGGCTCAGGGTAATCAGGACCAAGACCGGCCTCAGGTTAACCAACCGCAACCCCACCCAAACCCACCCTGGCGACAAGAGCCTCCACTGGTCTATGTAGGAGATAATGACCGAGCCAATACACACACTACAGGGCCGGCATTCAAGCTCCTCCAGTTCAGAACACCAATTTTGAAGTGAAAGCCTCTATGTCAACATGGTGCAGAACTTTAAGTTCTATGGGCTGCCAAATGAGGATCCTTTGGAGCATTTGGATCACTTTGATAGAGTTTGTGATCTCACTAAGATTAGTGGTGTCTCTGAAGACAGTTTCAAGCTCAGGTTATTCCCATTCAGTTTAGGAGACAAGGCACACCAATGGGCGAAGAACCTACCTAGAGGTTCAATACAGACTTGGGAACAATGCAAGTTAGCATTCTTGTCTAAGTTCTTCTCCACTGCTAGAACAGCCAAGCTAAGGAACAAAATTTCAAGCTTCACTCAGCATTCTAATGAGACTTTTGGAGAAGCTTAGGACAGGTTTAGGAGCTATACAACTCAGTGCCTACATCATGGCTTTTCAGAAGCCTCTCTCCTCAGCACTTTGTATAGAGGAGCAGTTCCCAAGATCAGAACTCAGCTGGATACAACATCAAATGGGAATTTCTTGGCAAAAGAAATCAATGCAGCTATGGAACTTGTTGAGAACCTAACCATGAGCCAAGACACTTATGGGGAAGACTATGACCGATGCTATAGAGGAGAAGGTTCTAGTAAACAACAAGAGCTGAAAAAAACCCTAGAGGAGTTGAAAGTTAAGTTTGTAAAGCTGGTAAAGGTCACTCAGCAACCTATACACTATGTAGCTGAAGAGAAGAGTTGCTTTGCCAATGTCAATGAGGCTGGTCTTGCTCAAGAGGAGTTACACTTCATTCGGAACCAGAATAAGTTTCAAGAGTACCCTCTTCAAGGCTTTGCTCAAAAGAATCAGTACCAAGGCAACTTCCAAAGTCAACAATCTTATCAGCCACAAGCGGTTCAGGCACAAGGGAACAGCTTCACAAACCAAGTCAGCTTACAGCAACAAAGGCCTCCACCTCTTGGATTCGGTCAGCAACAGTTTCAGCAGGGTTCTATGCCACGGCAAGGTCCTGATATTGGTATTGTTCTCCAACAGCTCTTACAAGGACAACAAAAGCTTGATTCCAAGTGTCTTGACCTGACTTATAAGATGGAGACACTAGGCTCTGAACTTAAGATTCTTAGAACGAACAAGGGCATCTGCACTTCAGAAACTCAGGTCTCTCTTCCTGGTAAAGCTGTTCAAAACCCCAAAGATTATTGCAATGCCATCTACTCAAGTGATGATCACTCAGCTGCTGTTCAAGAGATTGAATACCTTCTTTATGGTCAAGTCTCTGATGGGTCCAGCCCTAATAATGAGGAAGAGGACGCCATTATAGAGGACTTTATGAGCTTGTTACCTGATCTCCATGAGGACATTGCAAAAGAAGCTTGTTACCTGTTCAGTTTGTTATTTGCAGCATTGGAATGATTTTGTTGAGAAATGGAACAATGCCGAGCCTGTTGAAGCAAAGGACCAGCCGGTTGCTCAAGAACAGCCAAAGAATGATGTCCCAAGCGTAGATTCACCAAAGATGAAGCCTACATCACTCCCAAATCTGGGTAATTCCAGGGAAATTTACTATCTCTTGCACTCTTGGGAAGTTCAGAGTTGAGAATGCCTTGTGTGATTCCGGCTCAAGTGTAAATGTGATGTCTCTTAGCATGATGGAGAGACTTGGGATCAAGAACTTAAATGAGTATCCTTCTTCCATCACTTTTGGCGATTCTTACTCAAAGAAACCTCATGGGCTGATAGAGAACTATCCTTTGAAGGTTGGTGAGTGCATAGTTCCAACAGATTTCATAGTCATGAAGATCAAAAAGACAAAGGAGCTTCCACTTTTGCTTGGGACTTCATTCCTTAACACAACTGGTGCAAGGATTGACTTTGATACTCAAAGAGTTGATAAGGACGTCTCTTACCCTGTCAAGCCTCCCTTAGCCGAATTTTGTGGATCAGCTGCTCAAGAGATAGAAGAGCCCAAAGTGTTTGAGATGAAATATGTGGGAAGTGTTGGAGTTTTAGGAGGATCTAAATCCCTTTCAGCTGTGGAGAAAGGAGAACAAGCCCACATCAACTTTGATCATAAGGATGAGAATGGAGAACCTTTGATCAGATTAGAAGATATCTTCCTCACATGGTCTCCTACACTTAGTGAGCTAAAGATGATCAACAGCAAATGTGAAAGTTCAGCATCACAAGAAAAGAGCCTTGAGCTTGAATCTCCTTCTCAAGATTTTACTCTCACTCCTTGGGAATGTGATGATGGATCCACAAAGTATAAGCTGGATTGCAATGGGAAATCAGGGTTATTTGCTGAACTCAGGACAGGTCTCACAAAGGCGATCTTTGACAAAGATCCTGATGGTATTCAAGAGCTGATGCAAAAGGGTCTCAAGGTGGAGCTTAAAGAACAAGGGTCTAAGGGCACTCAAAGGAAACAAGCCTCGGCATTCATGCTCAAGACAATTGAAGTGCTCAAGAGCATTAGTGCACATCCTCACCCAACCTAAGAAAAGTTTTGCAAAGTCAAACTTAGTGACTTTAAACAAAGTGCTCTTGGGAGACACCCCAAGCTTATCCTTGTATATAGTCTTTTTAATCTTTTCTTTAGTATTTTCAGAACGTTTTGATGGGTTTGCTAAGTGATCTCAGGTTCTAGAAAGTGTTCTTGCTCAATGGTTTGAAGGAACAAGTGCAGAGAGGAGCTTAAAGGTGGCGACCTTATGATTCAAAGGAGCAGTAAACATGAGACCTCGGCCAAGCACCTCGAGATGATCATTACCGAGGTCTCATGTTTGATCTTCACAGAACCAAGTGCTGTGAGAAGCCTTGGAGAGCCAAAGCCGAGGAATTCTTGAGCTAATACCGAGGTGCCCTTGCCACTTGCACAAAAACTTGTCCACCTCGGTATAGAAGCTTCGGCATGGCTAGGCAGAGGGGTCCCTGAACGAGCATGAACAAAAGGGACGCTTGAGAGACTTGAGTCAAAGCAGAGGGTTCCAAGCACCAGCATTCTCCTCCATGTCCAATGCCTCCATTCCATCATTAACAAGTCTGATAACTCTCCAAACTCTTTGTACACATGCATCTAGTTCTTAATTTTTCATTTTGCACTTTTCTTGCTTTTGCCTTTCACTTCTCTCTTATGCTTTTATAACACAGGGGACTGTGTTATTTAAGTGTGGGGGAGGAGTTTAGTGTCTACTAATCATGTTTTCTCTGTTCTAATTTTCTCTTTTGCATTTTGAGTCTCATGTAGTTGCATCTAAGTGCATATAAAAATCGAAAAATCAGAGAAACTTTTTACAAAAAAATGTTCATTCTAGTTGCATTCACATTTTTTAGGATCGAGTCTAGTTGCATCATATAGGTTGCATCTTGCAGGGAGTCATGATAGGTTTTCTAGAGAGTACATCACTTTGAGAACTTGAACTGAATATGCTTGTGAATCTTTTTATGTGCTTGCAAAGTCTGAAACGATCTGAATCTGAGAAGCAAGTTTGAATAGAACTCAACTCTAATTAAGTGAGAACCTTGAACTTGACTTGAAAATATCTTTTGGTGAATGTTTGAATAAGCTTGTGGATACCGACATACATACTTGAGCTAGAACCATTGTTTTTACCGCCCTTTTTCCTTAGCTCAAGTAGCTGAATCCACATCATGGATCAGTTCCCTCACCTTGAACCCATCCTTCTTTCAAGCCAATGTTTGTGTGTGAATTGAAAGGCCACCTTGGATCAAACTTAGCAGAAAGTGTTAGGTTTAGAGCGACAAGGGCAGGTCTCATTGAGTGCTGTGTTCCAACATCAAGGAACTGAGAGTGTTGCCAAGGAATAAGTATGGGGGGAAAGACTTGTTGGTGAGAGGAAAAAGGTGAGATGAGTGGAAAAGAGAAAGTGGAAATAGCTAGGGGAATGAAAGAAAAAGAAATTAGTCTTGGAGTTTTGAGTTAAAGAAAGTAAGCTCTGGTGTCTTGAAAAGAAATAGTCTAGCCTCTAAGTAAAAGGAAAAGAAAAGAAGCCAAAGAGCTCAAGTGTTTTGAAAAGAAAGAAAAAGAGGCTAGAGGTTCCAAAATAAAAATAAAAAGCTGTGTAAAGTTTGAACTCCAAGACTTGAGAGTGAAAATGAAGAGTAAGTCCCCTAGTGAGAGGAAAATAAGTGTGAAAACTGAGGTTCTTGAGAGAGTGAGCAAGTGACAAAGCTTTGAGTAGAGTGTGGGGTGGGATGAGTCCTTGCCCTTGTATGCATAGGTTGCTTTTTACCTTTAGCATTCTGCCAAAGTTTGATCATTCATAGAGAGATCCCTTTGCTGCATTAAAACCGCTTGAACACTGATGAGATCATTTTAATCTCATAGCCTCTCCCTAGCCAAGCCAGCTTGTTAAAACATTGCATCATTTGATTCACCTGATAAAAGCTTAATGAATGTGAAAGAGTTGAGAGAGAGAAGAACTTGTGGAGATTCCTTGTTGAGTTGATATATATCTGAGTATGGCTTTGCATTGCATAATTGAGCATGAATTTGAATCCTCATTATGATCACTTCTCTCTAAAAGGAAATATGAACTCCCAATGCATTCAACCTCTCTCTCATTTGTTCTTTTTGCTTGAGGACAAGCAAAGGATAAGTGTGGGGGAGTTGATATATTCATAAATTGCAGCATTTAGTGTACATATTCTAGTCCAAATCATGTCTCATTTGCATACATTTTAGGTCTTTAGGCATTTTTTTAGGACTTAGGAGATTGCATTAGGTCCAAGAGAGTTTTGCATGGTTTGGAGTGTTAAACATGTGCTTTTTGAGCTTCTTTGGAGTGGAAGATGTGATTCAGATGAAGAAATGGAGTTGAAATGATCAAAAATGGTGAAAAGGAACAATTTTGGGTTTCTCGGCAAAATGCTGTACTGATGGCCGAAGATTCTCGGCCAAAATCCTTCCCGCGGGTAGATCTCTCGACCAAAAACACGTACCGGCGGTTAAGTCTCTCGGCCAAAAATCTCGAGTGCAGATACATCTCAGAAAACACGTTACCGAAAGGTCTTTCCGTTCGATTCAGATGTCGGGGTATTCATGAAAACTGGAGATAATTGATTCAAGAACCCAGAAACGTTTGAATCAGGGCATTTGGAGCACTGATCTGAAAGATATGGCCACCAGAAGACGAACGTGTCTCGCACTCATTCCGGAGAAATCCGATACGTCTGAAAGATTGCCTGTCCGGAGAACCTTCCGGTCCGATTCAGTTGTCGGGTGCTTCATGAAAGTTGTATAGAATGGGATCAAGGTTCCAGATCAGGTAGAATCATTGGATTTGGAGTAGTGATCTGAGAGTGAAGCTCACCGGAAGACACACCTGTCCATCGCCACTTTAAACCGATCCGATGAGCTCCAAAGATTGCGAGGGACGATGCACTTCCAGACCGTTTCAGCTCACATGGCCTTCAT